GTCGTTTATCGGGAGACGGGAATTTTAAGGTCGGGAGAAGGAAGTGTTAGTAGCAGAGACGCCAGCGGCGGCCAGCCGGATTTGACAGGTGAGAAAATAAACCGCCGCTTTACCGCAGGGGTCTTGGCTGCACCGGCAGGTGTAAGCGGCTCTGCTGCAGAAAAAAAAACTTGATTGGCTTTCTATGCATTCATGATGTTTTATATTCTACCATCTTGAGAACTCTACAGAACTGAAAACGACGTTTTCTGAAAGATGTGAATGTGGCTTTCTATACAGTCTTGTACATCTCCATAGTATCTTGTTCCCTGAGTTGTCTTTATCCGAGGTTGAACATTCCGAAAGTGGGATCTCCAGTAAAGCGGCGGCGTGTCTTCAAAGGCATAAGAAAACATCCCGCGGGATTATCGATGACCGACCTCCTAGCACCGACTGCTGCCGAAGGTTTAGCCACGAGTTGAGCCACACCTACAGCACCCTGTGGCTGGGCAGACCCCACCCTTCAACTTTTCTTCGGGTGGCAGGAACGGACATGGACTTTTCCGGCCGATTGAGGACCAGCCTGACCGAACTCACCTCTCAAAACCCAGCTCTGCTTCGGTGAGCGAGGTGTCCTCGGTGTGTGCCACAGAATGCAGCAAGTGGGCTGCACCGTTGTCACCAAGGTACCTTTCTACCTAGGTTTGAGCAGTGAGCTAGCTGCCACCTGGAACTGAACGCAAACAATTCGCCATCAAGTTGCACCTCACTTTGTTGCACTTGCGCAGTGCTTTTTGCACCTCCGGCACCCTGGTTGCCTCTGTGCGGCTTTGTCAATCGTTCATCTTTGGCCAATGGAATTATTCATCTTGTACCTTTGAAACGGCTACACGTACTGCAAGCAACAAGCTCCCTCGCCGAGCCCCCAGCCGTTCCTCGGCCGGCTGGAACAACGATCGCTTTCCTCCTTTGCGAATTACCACCACGATTCGTGATACCAATACCCCATAATGTCGTCAGATTACGAGAGAACTATTCTGGATTTTTACCAGCTCCCCAACCCATACCCCGACGAATGGCCAGCCGAGAAGAACCAGAGCGATGCATCCGACGATGAGGACGAGGCCAAGGACGAGAAGAAGGCGAAGCTGCAGCGCCGCAAGTCGCGATATCAGGCACTTGAGAGAGCCGTCAGTGACCGACGCAGCATAATCCCCGGCGCCCAGTCGGACAAGGGAGGTGTCGCCAACATTGTCCAGCGCGACGAGCCCGATCCCTTGGGCACCACCGACAGTGTCGTCAGGACCCTCCGCCAGCTGGGAGTCCCCATTCAGGACGATCCGCGCTTGCGTACGTGGGCTCGATATTGTGATAATGACCAGCAAGACTGACATGCGTCCAGGCAATCGATTCCTCTTGTCCTCGACCACCTTCTCTCCCGCCTTGTTCCTCTCGCAAATGCACGCGACTGCCGACACCCAAAGCTTGTTGACCGGCCTGGACATGCTGTCCCAGTCAATCGATCAAAAATCCGCATCACTTAAGGTTCTGGTGGAGACCAACTTTGAGCGCTTCGTCAAGGCCAAGGCTACCATTGATAATGTGTACAAGGAGATGAAGTATCGCGGCGCCGAGCCGCCTCCGCCGCCAACCACGGGCCGTGCTCGAGCTCACTCCCGCCACGCGAGTCGCAGCAGCTTCCGAGGCAGTAACGGCGGCATGAACCTCGCCGCATCTCTCGCATCTCCCACCTCGGACGCTCGTAAGAAAAACGCCCTCGTCAAGGAAAGCGAATACGGAGTCTCGGGCATCAAGGCGCCTCTTCTGGATGTCTCTGCCAAGGCGGAAGATGTGTGGGGTCCGGCGCTGGGAGGACGTGAGAAGGAGGAGAATCTCAAGGTCGTGTCGGCGAACCTGGATCAGTTCAAGGAGTACGTCGAACTTAGCTCTGCCATTGCCGAGAGCATCAAACGAAGAGACTACGAGAGTCTCGTGGAGGAGTACAACAAGGCGCGCAAGTTCTCAGACGATGCAAGAGCACTGGCTGCCAACGCCGCTGCGGGCTCTTCGAGCCAAACCGACATCTATCAGATCGTTTTGGCGGCACGCATATGGCACGATGTGGACGAGCAGATCCAGGCCTTCAAACGGGATGTCTGGCGGAAGCTCGTCACCCTCCACAGCGTCTCCAAGGCTGACAACCTGGGTCAGCAAGACCAGCACATGGAGTTGATTAGTCTGCTTCTCGAGCTGGGCGTCGACGACAACCCCATCTGGGTCTGGCTGCTTAGTCGGTACGACCACCTCAAGGGCAAGATTCAGTCAACGTCAGACCGCTCCAAGGTCGAGGTGGAAGTGCTCCGACGACGTCTGGCCAACGCCGACAAGCCCGGAGCGCACGCGGTTGCATCGCATCTGCGGTCTCTGGGGCGCGCGGCCGTGGAGAACAAGATAGCCTCGGCTGACTCCGCCGACGTTATAGAGCTGTGGGAAAAGATGCTGGCGTTCCTGTCGAGTATCCTGTCCGCACAAGGCATCCTAGGAGAGGTGTTGGACTTTTGGCAGACGGTTCAAGGTTTCCTGGAGGGCAAGATTCAGCGCACGCTGCCTTTGGGGTACAATGGAGAATCGCAAGTCCATCACCAGCTACCAGAGGAGCGTGCGGGAGATTTGCAAAAGGGCACATTGGAGCTGGTCGACCTGATTCGTGAAACAGTCTTTGCCTTTTTCGCGGGCCCGCCACCCGAGGATATCTCGTTGCTCTTCTCGCCCCTCCCCCTATCGCCCAAGAGCCCGCCCTCTGCAGGAGCCGGAAACCTCACACCCACCGGGTTTTTGGATCCTCGGCTGAACCTCGACCCTAACAACATTCCTCCTCCTTCGCCCAAGCGCGGCGAGACGTGGGAGAAGCTAGCGTTTTGGCCTCCGTGGTCCAATTCCGTCAGTGGTGTCCACTACCTTTCCAAGATGCTCGCCCTGGTAGGTTCGGGCGCGTCCGACTTGGCGAGCATCGGCCCCGTCGCGAATGGACTGGACCCTGGCGTCTTGGACAGGCTCAAGACGCTTGTCAACATTTCCAGAGAACGATGCGTCACCGCTCTTTGCGCAGCATGGAACAAGGACGCTGAGAATATCAAGTTCGTCGAGGACTGGTACCGATCACCGGAACTGGGCGACCTCACCCGCATGCCCTCGAGCTTTTCCGCCTTTGAAGGCGCGTTGCTTACAGGCATGCAGAAGATCCTGTACATATCCGAAGCCATGTCAAAGCCTGGTGCGGGGGATATTGTCCTCCCACCGCCTAGTAAACTCTTGCAGATGGTCAGAAGCCAGTACGTCACGACGCTCTATAAGGCGTTGAGCGGCATGGTGGAGAATGCCGAGCGATCTGTCAAGAAGGCCGACGACGATTGGACAACGGATATGGACGGCACCATCGTCGCCTCCGCCGCGCCCGCTCCCAGCGGCGGAAGAGCGACACTCGACGCGGGAGACAGGGTGAGTTTGACTTGTATCATTTTGGAAGAACTACCTACTGACATACTGTATAGAACGTCCGTATGCTCCTTACTCTCAGCAATTTGCAGTCACTCCGCGCCAAGGTCGTGCCGAGTCTCAACTCGCAGTTTGAGAATGCCTTCTCGGTCAAACTTAGCGATGAATCCAAAACGATCAAGGATGTTCTGGGCCAGATTGACGCTAGGCTCTTCCAATCATACACCCGCCCATCCATTGAAGAGCTGCGCAACATTGTCAGAGCCGGGGTTGCCTCGCCCGACTGGGTCCCCGAGGTGGGCCAGAAACCGCGGGAAGCGAGACCCTACGTCTACGAAGCTCTCCTCAGTCTCGTGCTCGTCCACACCCAAGTCTCGACCACGGCACCCACGCTCACCTCGCAGGTGCTCTCGTACCTCCTCGAGCAAACCAGCCGTGAGCTTCTCGAGGCGTTCCGCACGCGACAGAGATACACCCTCGAGGCGCTGATGCAGGCCACCCTGGACGTCGAGTTCGTCGCCCAGACGCTCAGCCAGTACACCACCGACCGTGCCTCGGCGCTCCAGAGCGAGATTTACCAGGAGCTCGATGGGCGCACCGATAACGACGCGCGCGCGCGCCTGCAGAGCGAGCTTCCCGAGATGAGGAGCGTGTTGAAGCGACTGCGCGAGGCGAGCAAGAACGAGTTTACGTGCTTCAGGAAGATCAAGCGGCCCGGCATCGGACCCTCGAGGACGGGCACCGGTGACTCTGCGGCGAGTATCAAGGGCTAGTGGCCCCCTCCTCAGTGCAGAATGAGAAAGTCAGGTATCTGGGCCTATGATTAGGTTGTAGGGGATGAATTGGTTATGAGAGAGCCTTCGGGTTGGGAGGTATTGGAGGTTCCGGGGTGTGATGCCCTGGGCCTACATTGCGCTTGGGGAAGAATCGCGCCCTGCCAGATTGGGGCGGGCGCATGAGTGATGAAATGTTCAATGTCGGATAGCCCATGTTTTGCAATAAACAAACGAATTCAATGTACGTGGTCACGATGCAGTGAGGTGTGAAGTTGAGGGCAGAAAATGTGATCTTGACTTAAAAGGGGGGTATCTATCTACCGTGACGAATTCTAAGTGAACTTTTGATGTGTCTTTTACGACAGCCCCATCTATCTAAAGAGAAGAAGCCAACTGTGAAAACTTTTTTTTGCTTTTCCATGAGTCCCTTGTTCCCAAAGTGCCAAAAGTCTTTCTGCCAACCCAAGTCCTGTGGTTTCCTTTTTTGGTTCCTTTGTATGGGGTTTGCTTTCATGTCGCCAATGAAGACATGTCTCCAATGGAGATGGTGGTTGTGGTGGTGATAGTAGTCGTACATTCATTAAGGGTGCTTTTTTTTGTGTTTCCTTGAAAAGGTATCTTTTTTTTTCGTTTCAGTCATTCATCGTGAATTGTGCGTGCGTGATGAACGCAAGCAGGACACTGCCTCTTTGTATTTGTATCAGCAGCAGCTTACTGTCCGGTGTAATGCCGCCACGACCAATCCCCATACTAGGGCAGATCAGTCGGCAGCGACTCTGTGGGGGTAGGGGCGGTGGGAGAGGCTCCCGTCATGGGGGTGTCGGGGACGGGAACTGGGGAGGCTGAGGCCACGGGGACGGTGGAAGGGTGTGGCGGAGCGTGAGGGTGAGGGGGTGGAGGTGTGCTGTGGCCGGAGCTGGAGGCCGTGACGGCGTGGTGGTGTCCATGGTCGCCTTCCTTAGGGGGAAGCAGGACATGGCTGCAAAAGTGCAGTTCGAGGGAGCGTGAGGTCTCTGGGCTGAAGGCGCAGGTTTCGAGCTTGCGGACAACATCGTCGTCTAAGAGAGGCGGTCAGCTTACTTCTCATAATCCAAGGAAATTCAAACTTACACTCGAGGTTCAGGGCCTGGAAGAACTCGGCCATGATGTCAAAGTCCGATTCGCCGAGGTCGACGACGCTGAGCCGGCCATCAAGTGTCCGGAACGTCTTGGGATGAGACTTTCGAAGCGTGAGAAGCATCTTCAAGAGGTCGGCAATGTCCCGGCCCTGGTTGACGTACATGGTGGGAGGGCGGTCGAGGGGCCAGCGCTGGCGGAAGTCGTCCATCTCCCACACCTTGAAGGTCCAGGTGGTTTTTTCCAGGCAGTGGAGGAGGATGAGGATGGAAAGGTACACGTCAAAATTGATCTTGGCCTTGCCGTTTTCCAGGCAGCGCTGAAGCTCACTGATGAGCTTGTTCGAGACGTTGTTGGCCTTGCGCTCCGTGGCGGCGGATAGCTGGAAGGTGATGAGGTTGTAAATGTCCTGGTCGTCGGTGCCGGCAAATTCTTCGGGGCCAATGGGTACGACGACGCCCTGGCGCTCTTCAGATATGCACCAGCCTCGCTCTCGGTCGAGAATTTCAATGAGACCCCAGAGCTCAATGGCGAGCTTCAAGTTCTTGCCCGTCGCCTTGTTGTCGGGAAACTTTTGCGCTGCCGCCAAGACGACTTGCATGAAGTGGGAGGGCTCGCGCTCGATAAGCGTCGGCAGAATCAACTTCAAGAACTCCTCCATACGGGCGGGGAGGTCCTCCTTGTCTTGGTCAATCATGACGACTCGAAAGTCCGTCTTTGTGTCTGGGCTCGCCGTCTGCTCTTCCGTCTCGCCCTCGGCTACAGGAGGCTGCGGGCGGGGGGTAAGCAGAGCGGCGAGCGTCAGGCTCGGGCTATCCTCCCACAAAGAGACGACGAGAGAGGTGCCGTTGGAGAGCAACTGGTATTTCTGTCTGGCGTGCTTGACCCTAGTCTGCGCCAGGACTACTATCAAGGCGGCTGAGTAGAGGGTAAGCTCTTGGTTCAGACGAGTGCGAACGCAGGGGTAGGTCCAGTGACGCGGGCCTTGGATCTTTCGGCATTGGTCGCAGGGATCATTGGTGCCACAGGTCTTGCGGAGAATACGGCATCTTATGCAAGCGCCCTTCTTACGAGCGGCCTGGACCTCCTTGCGCCGGAGCGGGTTGTAGGCCTTGCGCTTGTGCTCGCTCTGCGTTCCGTTGCCGATTGGCATACGAGTGCCGCCTCTGTTGGGAGGAGGCAACGTTGGGGCCACGTGAGTTGCTACTGTGGGGATGTGGTTCGTAGTCATGTAAGTCATCTCGCCCCAGGGTTGTTGAGGTTGTTGCTCTGGTTGCTGAGGCTGCTGGAGTGGCTGAGGCATAGCTTGTACCGGGAGGGATTCGATAGGGACAGCGGCGTCTGGCTTGAGTGCCTCATTTGATCCCATCACAGGGCTGGCGACCTGAAGCGGTTCGCCGTGCTCGGCAGTAGGCAATTCAGGATCCATGAGGGAATGAGTAAGACGGGCAGTGGCCGCGGCAGCGACGGTGAGATCTGATGAATCCAAAGGCGGGTCGTTTGGATGCTGAGTGGCAGCCTGCAAGTGTTCCATCTTTTCTTCAGTAGTGAGGAAGCTGAGAGGGTTGGTGCTGTCATTTGAGGTGGATTCTGTGAAAGTCAGCTCATCTGAGTTCGCGATCTGAGTTTGAGTCGGAATAATGAGGTGAGATGAAGCAACGCTCCTTCCTTGTGAACAAAGAGAATGAAAGTAAAGAAAAAATGACACACCCTTCCGCTCACGACCAGGTCGATTTTCGTAACTGCAGGGCGGGTTCTCGAGGGTGAATTGCTCTTGGACTTCAAAGCCGATTCCGAGTTGTCGAACCGCGGACTCGGATCGGTCGCGACCAAGTGCTGAAGGCGCCCCCATCTCATTCTCTCCAACTTGTCGCGATGCTTCTGCGAGAGTTCGGAGGGCAGACCAGTTCTCAGGTGCTTCGGGGGCGACCTCGGCGACGGCGACGTCAAGCTGGTTGAGTGGGAGATTCATTGATCGCGGGGCTGATGAGCCGGAGTGAAGTCCGGCGAAACCGAGTGCGGCGTTGATGCGTTCTTCAGGTGTGATGGCTGGGCACTTTTCCGTAATGTGCTTGTGTAGGACCTCGCCTCGACCCTTTGGGAAGTTTTCACCACACAACTTGCAGGTGTGAGGGTATCGGTTGCTGGAATCAGGAAGTTTGGGGCCCCGGGTGAAATATTCCCCCACCACGGGGTTTGGTTTTCGACCCATGATGTAGTCTTTGGCGCGTATTCCAGGCTGAATAATCCAAGGGAGTTGCTGTTTTTGGCGCAAACTTGGTTCGTTGACCTCTTACAGCTCGATACTTGAGATTCAGCACACCGCAGAGTGGTGGTGACCGCCCAAGAAATTCTGCCTTCAAGGTCGATATGTAGGAATTGGCAACGGACCAGCAATCTGAGATGCCGAGGCGATTGACTGTTCGATACGGAGCAGGTCAGAGACGCCACCGGTCAAGAAATGCCTCGCCAGGCTTTTACCAGTGGGCGACAATGAACGATAACGTAGGCTGGACCGGCGCGATGCGATGCGATTCACAGATTCTGCCACGGCTCACCGACGTTGGAAGCGACAAAATTCTCACACCGCTTCCCATGTCGGATAAATTTCGTGGTGGGGCCGAGCAGACCTTTCTGGTCACGTGAGAACCCCACCACAAAGTCTGTCACCACTGCGTAAGTACCTAAGTACCTTGGAGTGTGTGAGCCACGAGAGCTTCTTTCGATGTTTTCCCCTTCATACATGCCAGATTCTGTAAGTGCACTCGACGAAATGGCTTTACGTTTTTAACGGCCTTCATGTTTTGATGAAGAAGAAGAGCTGTGAGGGAAGGCATGAGTGTGTGACTGGAGTTGAAATTCTGTCTCAACATTGAGCTTGATCTTAAACTACATACACGCCATTCAAGGTGACCAAGCTTGTTTTGACACTGGTACCTTCGAAAGAGCTCTTTAGATCTGTCATCTCAGAAAAGATAAATTGAGCGATGCTAGACACTCACTTTAGATAAGAAGTAAACCCGGCCATCCGAATGATGCACCTTGAACTCCAGCTCTAGATTCAAAGGATGCGAAGCCCGCACTGTTCAGATCTAGCAGATGTACACGTGCATTAGCAAAGTCGCATCATAGGCCCTCACTTGGTCGAATCACCTCCTGCATCGTACAGCAGCGGCCAGCCTGAGCTCTTCCAGTCGTAATGCTGAAGGGAGATGCGAGGAAACATAGTCAAAATATGCTACTCCCGACAACAGATCATCAGTTCACATTCATCTTATCCAGACGTGAGGTGGTCAAGAGGCAGTGGCTCGTGTTCAGTCGTTCCTGAAAAAGGTGGGGGGAGGGGCAGTCCCGTCGGGGGGTGTCTCGGGGGGCCGCGAAGGAGTGGGTCACTCCGGGCACGGGGCCGAATCAAATGACACGGCGGGGGTGACCTCGGCCGCCGTCTCAGATAATAAGAACCCGCCACATGCGCTAGCGTCTGGCTGACCATATCTCTGTTGGAGCTGTTTCCCTTTTCCCCAATGAACTTGAGTCTCGGCATTTTGGGGGCCCCTGATCTTCGTAGCCAAACTCAATTCCACAAGATGCCTGTCAACCTGTTGGTTCACAATATACTTTGAGCATCTTATTCTAAGATTTTCGGGGCAGAAAGTCTACTTTCCGCAACCCTACCTCAAGTTCCAACAAGAGCGACGTTTCCCATGCACGATACCCCGGACAATTAGATACTAGAACCACTTTACCACATGTTGGGGGTCGCATCCGTCTTTTCCGCCCCCCTCGGCCGGGCGCCTACGGTTCTAGCTAGACCAGGGGGGAGCTACGCGACGGCCGAGCGTGATGTGGGTTACGATGCCACGCTCCCCCCTTGTGACGAACCAGTCAAAACACCAAGACCTTTGCGCCGCTACCATGGCATTTCCATGCCGAACCGCATCCAAGCTTCTGGTTGTTTGCCCGTATTCACCTATCTCCTTTGTGTGTCTTGAAGAGTAATGGCCACACTCTCATCTATCTGCCTTCTCTCACACACTCTCTTTTGACCTCACATCTTTACGGGGACGTCATCCTCCATCTACCGTCACATCAACGGCTCTGATCCAGTCATAGTCTCTCATTTTGGCACGTTGCATGTCCCTCGTTACCCCCCTCTCCCTCTCACGATCCTTACAGCAACTGGATTTTAGGCCCGTGGAAGCTCCTGCAACGTCGTTTCGTGCCCTCCGCATGAGAGTCGAATTCCTTCGTTTTGATGAGACTCCCCTCATTGTCGTTCATTTGCCTTTTTATCTTGCGTCATCAGATTGAGGTGTCATCGGGAAGTAGATCCAGAGGATCAACTTTGCTCACTGTGTTGATAACAAGAGTATAAAGGTACTGCTTCATCCCGTGTCTTGTATGAGTTTCGTATGAATCGGGTTACTCATCCATAAGAGACCATAATCAAAATGCGCCGAGCCGCTCTACTCCACCTCACATCCACCCTAGTGGCAGCGCAGTCCGCCGACCTAGCCAGCCATGTCCTAACAGACGTGAGGTTCCCAGACTCACACAGAATGCCTCCGTGGAACCACAAGGACTAACAGACACCCAGACCGGCTCCGTGGGAGGCGGAAACACCTTCCCGGGCGTCTCCCGCCCGCTGGGCATGGTCAAGCTAGGCCCGGACCTCGAAAACGGCGTCGACGCCTACTCAGGCTACCTCCCCGCCGGCAATGTCACCGGCTTCTCCATGCTCCACGAGTCGGGTACCGGCGGGGCGCCCAAGTACGGCGTCGTCAACCAGATGCCCGTGGTAGGCGTTCTCGACAACCCGCTCCAGGTTAACCAGAGCACAGATACCCGGGCCCGGCCGGATGAAACGGAGCTCGGGCATTACAGGGCGTTCCTCGGCTCCGGGGTCGTGGTGGAGTTGGGGGCTTCGGAGAGGGCTGGGATGTATGCGTACACGTTTCCTGGGAACAATGGCAGTGGCGCGAGCAACAATATCATTGTTGATGTCTCGCATGTTCTGCCATCGTACAGGGGGCAAGGTCTTGGGCAAAACTACCTCGGCGGAGGAATCGAGGTATTCGATACCAGCGATGGGGTTCACTACGAAGGATACGGGTACTACGATAATGTAAGTCCATCGCCTTCATGTTCTCGAGCCACGACTGAGACCTCGGACCAGGGCTGGAACCGCGCCGCCGAGTGGAAAGTCTTCTTCTGCGGCCACTTTGACCAGCACCCCTCCTCCTTCAAAACCTTCCTCGGCACCGACCTCACATCAGACGCCCTCTCCGCATACGGCAATGAAGCGACCTCGTACGAATCTCGCACGCAGCGCCTAGGTGCCGTCTTCACGTTCGCTGACCCGGCCGTCACCTCCCGCGTCGGCGTATCCTTCATCTCGACCGCCCAAGCATGCCGCAACGTCAACGTCGAGATCCCCGCGGGGACAAGCCTCTCGACCGTCAGGACGGCAACCCGCGAGGCGTGGACGACAGAGGTGCTCTCCAAAGTGACGACGACAGAGACTAACACAACCAAGTTGGACCAGCTGTACACGGCCTTGTACTTTATGAACCTCCTCCCCACCAACAAGACGGGCGAGAACCCGCTCTGGGAGTCGTCCGAGCCGTACTACGATGACATTTTCACCTTCTGGGATACCGTATGTCTCTCCCTACCCTTCTTCCCTCGTGATCCAACATCTAACACACAAAGTTCCGTTGCACCACATCCCTACTCCAAATCCTCCAACCCCAAGCCCACGAAGAATTCATCCGCTCCACAATCGACATCTGGCGCTTCACAGGCTACGCCTCGGACGCCCGCTCCTCCTTCTTCAATGGCGCCGTCCAGGGCGGCTCCAACGCAGACAACGTCCTCGCAGACGCCTACGTCAAGAACGTCCGCGGCGCCGTCGACTGGACGGACGGCCTCGCCGCCATGCTCACAAACGGCGAAACCCCCCGCCACCCAACAACGACCCGCGCGACCCCTCCTCATCCACAAAGGAAGGCCGCGGCGCCCTCCCGGACTGGCTCGACCTCGGCTTCATCTCCCCAACCTACGCCCGCGCCGTCACCCGCGCGGTAGAGTATGCCGTCAACGACTATGCCATCTCCCAAGTCGCGCGGGGCCTGGGCCAAAACGACACGGCGGACGCCTACCTACAGCGCTCCCGCAACTGGCGCAACCACTGGAACGAAAACATGACGGCCCACGGCTTCAACGGTTTCCTCGGCCCCCGCAACGCAGACGGCTCGTTCCCTCTCCCGGCACAAGACCCCCTCGACTGCGGCGGCTGCTACTGGGCCGAGGCGTACTACCAAGCCACGCCGTGGGAATATACCTTCAACGCGCACCACGACGCCGCGCACCTCATCGACCTCGCCGGCGGACCCGAGCTTTACGCCGCGCGCCTGGAAAAGACGTTTGAACCGGGCGGGTACGCAGGCAACACCGCGTTCGGCAACACAATCTTCAACCCGGGCAACGAGCCCTCCTTCGGCACGCCGTACCTCTTCAACTTTGTCAACAAGCAGCACCTCGCCGTGCGCCACGCCCGCTTCGTCGCCAAGTCGTACTACAAGCCCACGCCGGACGGGTTACCGGGGAACTCGGACGCGGGAGCAATGGAATCCTGGCTGCTCTGGAACATGATTGGTCTCTACCCCCTTACGGGCCAGACAACGTTCCTCATCGGCTCACCCTGGTTTTCCGACTTGACCATCGCCCTTGGTGGTGGTCGCGAGTTGAGGATTACCTCGACGGGTGGGTCCGAGGACGTGTACTACGTCCAGAGCCTGCGCGTCAACGGACAGGCGTGGGACAAGACGTGGGTGACGTGGGATGATATCTTTGCCGGGGGCGGGACGCTGGAGTTTGAGCTGGGGCCAGAGCCGGTGGAGTGGGCCTCGGGAGAGCTGCCACCGAGCCCGGCGAGTGTCGTCGGTGGCCAGAAGGAGGAGGTTGCGGCGCTGAGACAGCAACGGCAGCGGCGGTGGCGATAAGAGGAGCGGGACGGATAAGAGGTGATTGGATGAGTTGCTCTGCGGTTGCGATACAGACAGACATGCTTGCCTGTATCACGACAATCATCTGGACCAAAAGCAAAAGCTCAGCCCCCGATAGGGGGCCTACGAAAGATCCAAGGAGGCCCATACCGACCGACCTATGCCGTCATGTGAATGAAGCCTGGATTTTTACAAGAAACGGGACTCGAACCCGTGACCCATGGGAGCGGGGCAATTCAGAGCGAGCTGACATTCCCCGCCACGCCATGGGCCTTGGTGACAGTATCAAACAAATTTCTTCCCTATAGAGGCATGGAGCGTGGGTGAAGGTGGAATACACCAGAGGCGAAGAGAATCTAATGTATATTCATGAAAGGGAAACACCAGCACTGTACCCAGATGTATTGATATACGGCAACCCCAATATCAGCCTTGGTGATGAACAGTGGACTCGTATTCCTCGCAAACTCCTCGCTATGCCAATATTGCTGAAACATAGAACACGAGAGTAAGGGTATCGAACTTATAAAATGCAAAGCTACCTTGTTCCGGGCTCTTTCAGCGGGACTCGCCACCGCTCCAAACATTCTTGTTAATCTCCTCGTCGTCCCCGACACCAAAGTTCTTATTGAAATCGTCTTCTTGCTCGCTCTCTGCCCACGGCGATGCTGTTGCCTCTTGCAAAAGGGGAGACGCTTCCGGCTCGCTGTACGACTTAGAAACACTCGCTTCCGGTTCAGCCTGTTCCTCGGCTGCAGTCGGCTGAGGTGATGGGCTTTGAGGCTTGGATGACGACCCAGAGGCGGTACGATCGGGGGATGTCTCAGCTGCAGCGACTTGCTTCTGTTTTTGCTTCTTTTTCTTCTTGATCGTAACTACGGCTGGCTCGCTAGGCCGAGGAGACACACGTAGACGCTCAACTGTCGACCGTGGCTCGGACGCAAATCCTAAACTTCCCTGAGAGGACATGTACCGTTGGCTTAGGGGGACATTTGCAGTGATGACGGGGTACTGTACTTTGTTAGCAACACTGATCGTCGTCATGGCATTCTTTCGGTACTCACATTCCAATCACCAAACTCTAACTCGCGCGCCTTGCCGTAGAGACGCTCATCGTCGTTGTCAATCTCAGGCTCGCCGGTGAGACCTTCATTGAAGGTGCCGTTGGCAGAGTTGTACTCTTCACTCGGACCGCCCGCAGTTCCTTGGAGCAAGGGGTCGCGTTCGTTCAAGTTGCGATTCGTCTGGCGATCGACCTGACCGGGTGTCGGGATCCAATACTTTGCCTTGCCACCTCTTGTGTACCGCATGCCCTCGTCGAGTCTTCCCAACCTGGCGCGAGACTCTTCATGCGCCATGATCTTGTCGCCCGAGTCGAAAAACCGGTAGCCATACTTGTCGCCCATGAATGTTTCCTTTGAGTCCTCAATGAGATCTTTGACACCAAACGCATCGCGGAACGCAAACTTGACGGGCATCCGTGCCGAGGAAACCCTATTATCCGCGAAATCGTGCCACGAAAAGGCATACCAGTGGGCAATAGCGAACGCTGGCATCTCGATACAAATCAGGGCGTCCTGGATGGCAGCGGCCAAGTTATCGGGGCTGTACCCCTCGACATTGTCTGGGATGGCTCCGAGCCAGACGAGGATAGACAGGAAGAACCCTTGCCAGTACGAGGCAAAGATGATGAGCTTGACGCACAAGAACTTGGGCACCGGACGGAAGGGCAGCAGATCATCATGCATGCAGACCCAGAACAGGCCGAGTGAGTACAGACTGATGGTGACGCTGAGGTTGTAGATGATGCCGCTCCAAAGGTAGCCCGACTCCACGCCAATGTAGCCCTCCTGGTAGGTATCTGTCGCCTTCATGATGACGGTGGCTAAAGCCAGGATGGGTTTCAACCACGCGTACTGCAGAATGCCGCGCTTGATGGCGAGGAACGTGTGAGGATCGGAAATGTCGACACGGGGCAGCACATGATGCATAGGCCACAGGTGGGAGACTGGCTCGCGGCCGTGGGTCATGATGATCAGAGCGCGTTCTCCGCTGAGATAGTTGATAAGGAGCTGGAAGAAGGTGTAGATGGTGAAAGCCTGGCTCTGTTAGCACTTGTGGGACATAAAGTGCCACCAAGCTATATTCACCTCGTAAATGTCTCGGACAGGGTCGAGGAAAGACGAAGCCTTGATAGAAACCATGCTTGTCCAAGACGATATCGAGTATATGGGGACCCTTTGTTCGTTAGACTCTGGTGCTTATCGTGTTCTCACGGGACAGCCAACGTACATGAGCAAGATTCGAACGACATATCGCTGGAGGAGTGGTTTTCGATAGTTCTTCCTGCTAGGCGTCAGCTTTCGTTGGAGGGGGAGCGCGGGCGGGATAGGTAGCATACGACTGGAGGAAGATGGATCTGCGAGTTGCTCATTAGCCTCAGTTGCGCCAGTTAGGGCAGCACGACAAGGACTTACATGGCTGACAGGAAGGTGGCTATCAGGGCGGCGACACCTGCAACGATGATGGTGGCCGTGGTCAGCTTCTCGCCTGTGCCGCCCGCCATGTTGACCTCGAGGCGGGACATGGCGAAGGGTGGTGTTTGTTGTGTTTAAGGAATGTCGTCTACCTCATGGCTGTCGGAGGACGAAGTTCAGGAGAGGCAGAGGGCGGAACAGCAAGCTTCAAGCTCGGGTATGGACGTGGCAAGGCGGGGAAGCGAAGAAGATGATTGTCAAAGAGACCTGGAAAGAGAAAGAGAGAGAAGATGACGACGGCCGTGCTGCGAGGTTTAGGTTGTCATGAGCAGCTCGTGACAGGTGCGTAATTCGGTACGTATGCGCGGCTCAAGGCCCAAGGTGGAAAGGTCAAGCTGCAGACGCCGTACTTTAGCCTGGGGGTACGTCCCTACCTAGGTACTTAGCATACAACACAGGTACGTACGCGGGAGGTGACAGCTGCGCATCATTCGCGTGTGGCCAATGACTTTGCATTAATTGTTAGGGAGGTCCATACCGGCAGCTCCCCTGAAGCTTTGGTTTCACAGCGTGCTTGAGCGTGTGGGGTAGCAGTGAACACCACCTCACAGTGACCCTCCACTGACCCGCCCATGTGTCCACCGCCCATACCGGGATTGACCTCCGCTGCTGGGCTGCTGGGGGGTGCGGAAGCTACGACCACAGCTCCGTCAGTGGGCCACCTCCTGGGGCACGCGGGTTGTCATTAGCGCGAGACACCCGGGCCCCGTCGTTGGGAACGCTCGGCGCGACTTGGAAATGCGACTGGGCTGCTAGAAAGTTACTGGCCTGTGATCCCACACCAATTCAACCTCAACCGCATCGCACACATTGCGCATGCTTTAATGTTGCGCTGTCTCACCGATTCCTCACCCATCCGACTATCCGATCCTACTCTGTACAAACGATACTCCCGATACCCCTAACAGCATCTACCGCGTCCTACGAGCATACCGTCACCCTACGAACCTACCATCACAACACCAAGCGAGCGACGACGAAACCGCGACATGGCAGTGGGTGGACGAGGACAGCTCCGACGTTGATGCTAGCTGAGGCATTGTTGATTCGTCGCCGTCAGGATGCCGCAAGAAGGGGAGCCGAACCCCACGCCGACCGAGACTCCGGCCTTTCGATGGGAGTTTCTCGTATACTTGATCATATGCGGTGCTCTCGCCGTCTTCTTCCTCCTCTACTTCAACAGAGCCTTTGGATCGCTCCTTTCGTGGGGCATACGAACCTACACATGGCATCGCTACCGACTCTACATAGACATACAGGCCCTCCAGGTCTCGCTTCTTGGTGGACGTATATTCTTCACCGGTCTACGATATCACGGCAATAACGAGACGTTCCTGATTCAGCATGGCTACGTTACATGGCGATACTGGCTACGGCGAGTGCGCGAGGTGGACATAAAAGCTTCAGCACAACAGCAAGCTGAGCAGGCTTCTGCCGGGACAAACGGACGACACTCGAATCTGCCCTGCCGAGTTACAATGTCCCTGGTTGGCCTGGAATGGTTCATCTACAACCGGAGCCCTGCCTATGACAGCGTTCTGGCTGGCCTCAAGGAGCCAACAGCGACTGCCGAGAACGTGTCGACCGCTTTCGAGTCCAAAGACGAAAACGCTTCGCTGAGAAACCGAGGACAGAGGACGACCGAGAAGCCGGAGCCGTCGCTAGATTCCGCAGAACACGAAAAGCAGACATCTGGCGCGGCTCTGCTGTCGAGAATTGGCAACACCTTTGGACGCCGTGGATCTTCGGCTAGTCAGACTAGTACCCCCTCCGATGGCCCGGCTGGCAGCAACGATGATGTTCAGGCGGACTCGGATTTGCCATTTCTCCTGCAGCTCTTCCCCATCTTTGTGACATGCCAAAAGGCAGCTGTAGTCATGGGAAACGACAACACCAAGGCCATATTGATTGTCAAGGCCGATGGGCTCTCTGGTGAAATCGATGCCTCAAAGACGTCCACTCCGGACCCGTATAGGCAGAACTTCAAGATCAAGTTCCAGCACCCAATCGTAGAGATGCGGGAGAACGACGACTTCAAGGAAGACCAGGCGACGAGGGCCAGCCGCGAAAAACAGGCAGCCCAGGAGCCTAGTCCTACGTACAAGACTTCATTCTTCCGGCGGCAGAGACGCCGCACGCTGGGGACACTGCGCAACTTGGTGCCGTATTGGCGGAAATCCGTCGAATCCTTCTCTCTGGGCTCGCGCAGTCCGCTCACCACCGCGGTGTCCCAAATACCTGGCTCCAACCAGTGGCAAGGGTTAGCCCGCTACTTGGACGAAGATGAGCAGGATTCGAGGTTGCGGTGGGCAGGCGTCGAGTATGCTGCCGAGTCCACCGTGGTAGACAGCCCCGAGGCGACGCTGACCATCTACTGGGATGTCGTAGGCAAGGTAACGGCCGAGGCGGCGAGCAGACGTTCAAAGGAGAATGCTGCAACGTACATCAACGGCGACGAGGCTCCCGGATGGGGCATGAGTCTTGCCATCAACGGCGGCGTGGTCAACTACGGGCCTTGGGCAGACCGACACCGAGCGGATCTTCAGCGTGTCTTCGTTCCCAGCTTGTCAAAAGACGCCGTTCCCGCGACGCCTTTGGAAGAGGGCGCCTACCGCGTTCCCACGCAGTTCAAATTGTTTGTCGAACTGCTAGATGAGGTGACGCTGCATATCCCTATTCGAGAGGACTCGAAGAATTGGAAGTGGAAGGGCAAAGAGCCGCCCATGAAAGCTCCGCCTCAACCGATGAAGCGCAAGCAGAGAAACCGTGCCAAGAAGAACACAAAGACAGACGCGGCACCCACCCGTCCCGGAGGCTGGCTCGACTTCATCGTGCCTGGCAATTCCACGATATCCTTCACCATGGACATGCTTGCCAGCCAAACGGGGTACCAGATGAAGCTCGACGTCGACCTGCCCAGTACCGAGCTCGCGACCAGCGTGAACCACGAGCTTCTCTGGCGTTCAGGGCCTCAGCGTATTTCCTGCGATCTTTCCACCCCCCTAAAGTGGAATACCCTCAGGACGTGGTACTTCAACATCGTCACAGAACAAATGGAACTCTTTATACTGAGAGACCACGTCTTCCTCATCATTGACCTGGTCGACGACTGGGCATCCGGGCCACCGGCCGAGTATCTTGTCTTCACGCCCTTTAGATATTACCTCAATCTCGAGCTCCGCGACGCAATGCTTTACCTAAACGCCAACGACGGCAATATCATCAACAACCCAACTGATCTGGAGGACAACGCCTACGTCATAGCCAAAAGCCCTTCCCTCATTGTAAACTCGTGCATCCCCATTGACAAGTTCCGGCCAAGCATGAATACCGTACCCTTTGTTCTGAGTGCCGAGACGTTTTCGCTGTGGCTACATGTGCCTCCGTGGAATACGCAGGGCACGTTTCTCACATCAAAAGAGATCGGTCATGGCGAGAACTTTGAGGTTGACGGGAAATATCACTACAACGCCACGACATCGCCGGCCAACATTGATACCCTAGAAATCAACCTTAGTCTCCAGTCCCCCACGGCAACAATCTACGGATTCATCATACGATATGTCTTGGTTCTCAAGGACAACTACCTTGGTGACTACATCCACTTCAAGACGCTCGAAGAGTACCAAGACCTCTTGCAGCTCAAGGAAAGCAACCCGGATGCAGAGCTCGCAAATCGCCCACCTCCGAAAAAGTCCAACGACTTGGACGTAATTATGAGCGTAAAGATTGACGACCTGCGCCTGCTGTTGCCTGCCAACCTCTATTCCAGCCAGCGCAATGTTCAGGTCGAGACTGCCGGCCTCTCCTTGGACCTCCGCTTCACAAACTACTACATGGACCTGCAGGTCAATCTCAACCCCCTGAACCTGTCTCTCGGAAACGCACAGTCAGGCTCGGAAACACCCATCAGCGCAGTGTCCAGTACCCAGCTATTCATTGACGGCCTCACCATCTACGGCCACCGTCTATTCGGGCTTCCCCCGAGCGAGCCAACCTACATGTGCAATTGGGACATTTCCGTCGGTACCGTATCGGGAGAGTGCTCTGCCGACTTCTTGACGGCACTCATGGGCGTGGGCAAAGGATTCGCATTCGAATTCGACGATGACGAGAACGCCTTGATACCGCTCTCTTCCGTCATTGTATACGACGTCACTTTCCTGAGGGTGGCTGTTGAGGCGGTCCGCGTCTGGTGCCACGTCGACGAAGCGGCATTCTTGTTCTCGACCGGTACCCTCGACATCAAGTTCAACGACTGGGCCCGTACGCACTACTCTAGGCGAGCCGACATTCGACTCCCGGATCTTCAGGTCTCATGTGTGAATTCAGAATCGGCAATGAGACACAAATGGAAGTCTCAGCACGGCGTCGAAACAGACGCCTTCTTCCAAGCCAGTATTCGCGTGGCCATTATTGGAAGAAAGTTTCATTTCTCTGAAGAGCGCAAGCTGCAGCAGGAGCTCATCCGTCGCGAGGATCAACGGGCTGGGCGAACTGAATTTCTGCTTCTACCGGGCATCTTGGAGGAAACGCTTCCTGACCAGCTTGACCCGCCGGCCCAGGGCTTCCCGCCGGTCCCGCACCCAACGGTCCTGGACGGCGTCGAGGGAGACCAGCGGTCTTTTGATAGTCGTTCGGCCTTTAGTCGATCTCGACCTCTCCGTCACAAGAGCTCGTTTCTATCCACGTCCACCGCCTCCAGCACTAGCAGTGTGGTGAGGCCCAGAAGCTCTGTGAGATCACGAGCAAAGTCTAGGCAGTCAGACATGTTGCACCCGGACAGCTCTGAAGCAAAAAGGGGTGGGCAGCACCAGCGAGACGTTTCTACGTCGACCGGCCGACACTCGGCATTCTACAGCGCCATTGGAGACGTGAGAGATGCAAGCCACCACTCGTCGGTGGCCTTCTCGAGCCAATTCTACACTCCGCCGTTTCCCCTCGAGAGCGTTCGGCCTGATACGTCAGAGGCTGTCATGCAAAGCATCGAGGAAGACGAAGCGTCCGCCTTTGGATTCTCTGAATTTGGTCTCGACGACATTGACCCAGACTCTCTGACCGAGGATCGTGCTCATAACAGCATCATACTGGAAATTCCGTCAGGCGTCACTGCGTTCTTGAACCCCTCCGCTGTCAAGAATGTGTCGCTATTACTCGCGGCGCTACAGCCGAGTGATCCAGATGATATCCTAGACGCACTACAAATATCATCAATGACGGAAATCTTTGATCTCCAAAAGAAGAGGAAGGTTGCCGGCGAAATCACCGATGTACTCGTCAGGGTCCCAAAGGCCAGCATACGCTTCCTGAACTCTTCCACCGTCGACCGCATGAACCCCGGCGGAGAAGAGCAGGACCAATACGATGTGACCGTGTCAAGACTATCGCTGTGTCTTCGCTCGATCGACGCATGGAAGGACCCGTTGAAGCCCGTTGAGAGCAACAAGAGAACCTCCGTGCTGTTGAAGCTCGGATCTGCCGAGGTGTCAGCCTCAGAACGGCTTTCAGGGGCTGAAGAGAACCAAGCAGCCTTTATGGCGCAGATTGAAAGCGTCATGGTATCACTAGGCTCAAAAGACGTCACGTACATTGACGCAGACATTGGCAGCATCAAGAGCAGCACGGCATCAGAAAAGATCGAGTACCTTGCTTCACTCATCCACAGGACCGGAGTTGTCGCTGCGGAACTGGGAGAGGTGCTGGGCCAGACAATGTCTCGACACGAAGACCGCATCAAACACTTCGTCTACAAGCTCATGACCGAGGGGCATCCCATTGGTGACCCATCCTTCTTGACTCGCCCATCAGCAGTGTTGCGATCTGCCGAGGAGCATCTACGCACCTTTGATTCGTGGAAGATGGCTGCGAGACTGCGTCAAGTCTGGACACACCTGCCTGCGGCCTTCAAAGAAGACCTGCACTTGAGCTGCCTCGCGGCATCAGCCTCGCCACCGGCTGATGCTGCGCAGCGCGTTATTGATGCTTTCCAACGATGGCGCAGCTGGGACCTGTCCGACGTGGCCAATTCTTCACTGATCAAGCATGTCTTCGGAGCGGTAAAGGTGGACGACAAACCCGCATCGCCCGATCTGCCGATCCTGGCCGCCCTGCGCCTCAAGGACGTCCAATTGCTTCTCGACCCAGGGCCAAAGGAGAATAGAGTCGTCTTCTCTGACTTGACGACGAGGCTGGAGCAAAAGGCAGTGCCAAACACCGATGGAGCAGAAGATGTGTCAAAGAACATGACTGTTCTGAATGTCTATTGTGGCGAAGCTGCCGTCATTCTCAACTGGGAACTGTGCGAGCTAGCCGAGGATGTTTTGCGACTGTACAACAAATCCAGCCGGGCTAACAAACCTCCTCAAGAGCCCAAGAGTGAGCCGAAAGTGGACAACACCTCAAAGCCGAAAACCCAAAATGCATTCCACGTTGTGTTGGCGGTCGGGCGAGGCTCCGTTGAAGTGGACACTATCAACCTCAGCGCCACCTCTCTCGGCCACAACATGAAAGTGTCTTGCCTGGTTGATGCCTATGAAACGACTGGCTCATCCATCAACTTCATCCTCAGCTGCGATGCAGTAACGTCCCGCCTCCATCATCGGTCGGAGCTGCTGGGCATGTTCCAGATCAAGGACCCAAGCATCATTGTTTCCCACGAGCTCTTAGAGACGGACACGACGTCATGCCACACTATCAAATCGACGGCCAGCAGTCGCACCTTGACTTTTGCCGTGAAGCAAGATCCCCTCTATCTCGTAGAAGTCGCCGATTATCTGGTCAAGGACGAGTTGACTCAGATACATAAGCTCCAGAAACAGCTGCCAGAATCTCCAGCGCCGCCCCGCAGGAACAGCATCAAGATTGCCGAGCGTCTGTCTTCCTTCAGGGTCAACGTCGCAATGTTCCTAGACGAGTACCGCATCAGTGTCCCATTGCTGCAGTCAATGACCTACAACATCTCTGGCGTTGTAGCGCGCGCAGCTGTGGCTGCCAACTTTGGAAAGGAACTCATATTTGACTTTGACGTAAAGGAGAACTCTCACGAAGTCCGCATGGACGTCAGAGACCGTCAGCGCAGCATATCGCTTCTCCGTATCCCGCCGACCAATGGTCGCATCGTCAGTCACATGGGCCAGGGGGAGCACTCGGTGTCGGTGTTTGGCTCTGTCGAGCTTATGCAGCTGGACGCCTCTGCGGTCTACAGCCTTTTAACCGCTCTCAACCGACCCCAGATCTCTAGTGCCGTCAACGAGCTTCAAGAGGGTACAAAGGCGATTCAGGGCCACATTAGCGAAATCTTTGGCGAAAAGGCCATCACCAAAGAGAAGCCGTCGCCGCCTGAACCCGACTCGAGTCTCATCTACACCATCCATCTCACCTTGGCCGGGATTGAAGTGTTTGGAAACACGCCCCTCGTGTCTGAAAAGGATCCTACAGCGTGCCTCTCCTTCAAGCTGGACAGAGTGCACCTGGAAGTGGCCAACCGTCACGGGTCTCACGGGCCGATCCTGGCTCAACCAGAACTACACATCAACCTGCGTCAAATTCTCATTGATGTGCAGAAGGGCAGGGACAACGCCATGAGGTCCTGTGGCAGCCTCGCTCTCGGCGCTCTCATCTCGATGAATACGCGGTGCACCGAAGACGGCACCGAAGAAAGGTCATTCAACTTTAGAAGCGACGGTCTAGAGATCGAGCTGTCCCCGGAAACCGTCTCAACGGTAGTGGCCGCTCTAGGCTACATGGGTGACAAGATCAAGGACCTCGATACGTCGCGCGAGCTCGAGTACCTGCGCAAGATCCGACAGACTCGGCCTCGCATTGCCATTAATGATCAGGAAGAGGCAGAGGAACCCGACATCATTGACTCGTTCTTGTCGTCGATTGTGTACCGCTTCGAGGTGCGCGACACGCAGATTTCATGGCTCGTTGGCGACCCCTCGGACGAGCTACTACCGTTGGCGGGCAGCAAGGAAGACCTCATTCTGTCCGTTCAGCTTGTCAGCTTCGGGACACGCCAGACCAAATCAGCCAGGCTCTCCATTGAAAACTTCCAGCTCCAGATGGTCCCTCCCGGCCAGGACAAGAGTCTCAGATCGCTTCACTCGGCGCTGCTTCCCGAGGTCGTCTTCAACATCGCCTACGTGTCCAATCCAAACACCCGCAGCTTGGCCTTCCAGGCAGTGGGCAAGTCGCTCGACCTCCGCCTGACCTCGGGCTTCATCATTCCTGCTGCGATCCTCAAAGATTCCATCAGCCTTTCCATGCAGAACGTGCAGAGAGCGTCTCAAAACTGGACTACCGGGACCGCACCGCCCAAGGTCGAAAAGGTGGACGAGATCAAGGAACCGGCGCCACCGCAGAGAAGCATACTCGGCACAAAACGGCTAGAGTCTCTGCTGGTGGACGCTGACTTTTCGGGTGCCGTGGTCTATGTATCAGGAAAGAAGCCAACAGACGGACTCCGTGGGAGCTCCAGGACCGGACGGCCTTCATTGGCAGGCAAGTATGGTCAGTTCAGCACGGATGACACGGGAAGCAGCACTGTTCTCAGATCACCAGGTCTGGCCTGGAAGTTCGAGTATCGCGACAACGGAAACGAAGACCCTTCTTTGTACGGCGAGATCAAGATTGACGCCTCGAGCAACATCTTGTACCCGTCTGTGGTGCCCCTCATCATGGACATGACAACCAGCGTCAAAGAAGTCGTGGGCAAGGACAAGGATACGCCTGCGTCAGCGGCAGCCCAGACTCCGGCAGCAGCGGCGAAGCCCAAGGCTGGCAATGAGGATAATATTCTCACTGCTGATCCAAACGCCGTCATTGGACGTCTGAAGCTGAACCTGGGACTGCGCATCTGCCGTCAGGAGTTTTCGCTAAGCTGTCAGCCCATTGCACGTGTGGCTGCCACGACTTGCTTTGACGATATCTACTTCACCGTCAACACGGTGCGCTCACAGGAACAAGGCAACTTCTTTTCCATCTCAGGAGCCTTCTCCAAGCTGCAAGCGTCCGTCCAGCATGTATATTCGCGAGAGTCTACAGGAAGCTTTGACGTCGACTCGATCGTGCTGTCGCTGATGAACAGCAAGCATGTTAGCGGAACGAGCGGCGTGTCTGCCATTCTCAAGGTCAGCCCGATGACCGTCTCCATCAACGCCAAGCAGCTTCAAGACTTTTTGCTGTTCCGCGAAATTTGGTACCCGACGGAGCTGCGGAATACCACGACGGCTCCGGTCGCCAAACTCAACACGGAAACATCACAACAAGGCCACTTGGTGCAGAGATATCAGCAGGTGGCCGCCACAGCAGCGTTCCCCTGGACGGCGACCATTTCGATAACATCTCTTGATGTCAGCGTAGACATGGGTCAGGCCATTGGCAAGTCGGTCTTTGCCATCAAGGAGTTCTGGGTCTCGTCAAAAAAGACGTCGGACTGGGAGCAAAACCTGTGCCTGGGCTTCGAAAAGATTGGCATAGACTGCACAGGCCGGTTGAGCGGCTTCATCGCACTGCAAAAGTTCCAGCTGCGGACATCCATCCAGTGGCCAGAGCGAGAGGCGGCGCTCAACGAAACGCCCCTGGTACAAGCATCCATTGGATTCAGCCAGTTCAGGGTGAAGGCCGCCTTTGACTACCAGGCGTTCCTCGTCGCCGACATAACATCTCTCGAGCTCCTCATGTACAATGTTCGACGCAGTCTCGAAGGCACCGGTGATAGGCTCGTCGCCATCTTTGACGGAGACGCAGTGCAAATCTTTGGCACCACGACGTCGGCAGCACAGGCCGTATCGCTCTACCAAGCGTTCCAAAAACTCATACAGGAGAGGCGCGCCAACTTTGAAATGTCGTTGCAAGAGATTGAGAAATTCATGAGGAGGAGATCCTACCAAAGCGCCGCCTTGTCTCCCCATCTCACAAGCGCGCCAAAGCTTCCAGCCGAAGACACGCTGTCGAAAGCGCCCATCTCGCTGGATACAGATGTTGTTGTTACACTTAAGGCACTGAACTTGGGCGTGTTCCCGAGCACATTTTCGGATCATCAAGTGTTCAAGATGGAGGCTCTCGGCGCGGAAGCGCGATTCGCGGCCAGCATCGAGCAGCGGCGCGTCCACAGCATCTTGGCACTCACCCTCGGACAGCTGCGGATCGGACTCGCGGGTGTCAGGAACATTGAAGCGCCCAAGACGCTCAGCGAGATCTCCGTGGAAGACGTTGTCGAGCGAGCCACGGGATCGCGCGGCGGAACCATTCTCAAAGTGCCCAAGGTCGGCGCCGTGATGCAGACGTGGCAGACACCAAACCGCAACCGCATCGACTACATCTTCAAGAGCGCGTTCGAGGGCAAGGTGGAGGTGGGATGGAACTACTCGCGCATCAGCTACATCCGCGGCATGTGGGCGAGCCACGCCAAATCGCTGGAGCAGACGTGGGGCAAAGAGCTTCCGCTCACGGCGGCGCTCACGGCGATCAAGGTGACGGGCGTACCGGACGCCGACACGGAAGGGGGAGGAGGAGGAGGCGACGGGCATGCGGGCGGGGGACCGTCGCAGCAGCAAAAGATCACGGCCGAGGTCAACGTTCCGCAGTCCAAGTACGACTACGTTGCGCTGGAGCCGCCGATTATCGAGACGCCTCAGTTGAGGGACATGGGCGAGGCGACGCCGCCGCTGGAGTGGATCGGGCTTCACAGGGACCGGTTGCCGAATCTGACGCACCAGATTGTGATTGTGGCGTTGCTTGAGTTGGCCGGGGAGGTGGAGGATGCGTATTCAAAGATTCTGGGGTCATGAAGGGACTTTGGTCTTGAAGATGGGATGGCGAAGCCGCAAAGGGCCACGGCGTTGAGTCACTCGGCAGACAATCGTTTTCGGCGTTAAAGGAGTTTAGCATTTGGGTCGTTGGACCTTGAGCATCACTACGGCACATTGGGGGATACCATTCACGCATCGACTTATTAATCAAAACATCATATTGTTCCCACGGCGACTGACACACCCGGACTTGTGAGTGACGAGCCCACTATAGGATGAGGCGCATGCAGTGACAGGCAGAAGTGTAAATAAGCATCCTGACGAAAGATAAGTAGAGAGGCGAGGTTTGCTTTGACGGGACGAGCCAGACCGATATATGGTTCGCGGCTTTGGATGCCGGTGAGTCGTGGTCCGGTCGGGAAGTGGCAGTCGCAGGTGTGGGTACCATGACGGCGTCCCGATTAGGCTGACCGAGAATCTGCACATCAGCCAGTCCGGCCGGGTGTCTGATCTTCCGCCACCCCGGATGATTTGGTCTACCGTCTCACTGCGGGCAGAGTAGGTAAGCTTTGTAGGGAGGATTCATGGCCAACGCCGACTCCGTCATTGGGTGCTGAAGAGCCCAATTCGCAGCCATGCCGTCTACGCGGGGCGGGTTTGAAAGTGGTGATGGTTGATCTCACCATCTTTGCGGTGCACCAGGGTGGGCTGGCTTTGGGTACAGTGCAGTGCACGGTAGAGGCCAAGCGAGGCGGGGTAGTTTTGGTTGTTTAGATAAGCAGGGAGAGCTCTTTCCCTCAGACCTCTTGAGCTGAGCTTGCGCAGTAGAGTTTCTTCACTTACTTGCGAGTACCATGGAATGCTTAGCTAAGGTAAGATAGCTTTGAAGCAGTGGCCGTGTACCTTGGCCTGACGGGAGCTTTGTCTAATTCAAACAAGGCGTGTGTCAAATGTGCGTCCAGCTCGAATGGGAGAGCAGTTGAGACGACCTAACTGGGGGTGTTTGGGGGTGTACTGCGCAAGTGGTGAGGTACCGATTCTGGTGCGAGGAGGAGAGGGTTACTGCCCTTTCCCTCGCATAAGGAAGGCACCTGGCACACTGCCCCTCCTTGCACAGACCGGCCGGGTGAAGTGCCCCGAGTAGAGGTCTGGAGCAAATACTGGCTGCGTTTCCTAGTGTGCAAGGTGCTGACGAAAGGCTGGAAGGCTGTTGCTGGGGCACCCCATACCTTCCTTGCCTTGCAAAAGATAATACTGTATGCGTACTGCGGCAGAGGTGACAAGCAGTCAAAGTGAGTGGCGCCACGATTGTTAGTGAGAGAAGAGGCTACAGGTCTGCGAATAACGAAGTGGTAAAGGTGAAGGTGGATCATTGGATGGGATCCAGAGGGCGAGAGGTACGTCCACAGTGCGTAAGAAGAGGGGCAGGAAGGAGACGCCCCATGTGAGGTGTGCCGTGCCTGCCCAAATGCTTTGCAGATGCTGTGGTTGGAGAGGAGAAGGGCGAAAAAACCAGGAAGGAGGGACCTTGAGAGTGGCGGGGTTTTTTTTTCTCTCACACTCTTTTTTTGCTGGTGCCCCACCTACCTTACCCATTTTTTCCCTTCCGGCGGGCCAGTCAGTCACTAACTTTTTTTTTTTCACCTTTCCCTCGGGGCAACCGCCTGCCTCACACGGCCAAGGCAAGGCGAGGACGCACCGGTTCCCTTTTTTTTCCATTCCTTCCCCCTCCCACCTTTTCACCCTTCTACCCCCTCCATCCCATTCACCTCTTTTCGACGATAAAAGAATCGGTAGAGGAGCTCATCAGTTCCCCTGTCGTTTCCTGGAACCGTCGACTTTTCAACCTTTCGAGGCAACCCTCACATCTTCATCTGTCTTCCTTCATTCTCTCCCAGCAGAGAAAAGGATTCAGCACTCTGTGAGCGCGGGGCAGATTCTTCAACCCCGCTTCGCCCAACTTCGACTCTACACATCCCACCCGACACAGAAATTTCAAAGAGCTCGCTGAGCCACCGCCGTCAAGATGGTCAAGTAAGTTATCACAACCCGTCTTACTCTAGTCTTGGGCATAAGCAACATCACGACATGTCTCTTCATCATCATCATCAACACCATCATGGAGCAATGCCTGCACACTTTGCCGCATCGTTGCAGCAAAGCTTTGCTGAGCGCCCATCTCTACCCCGCCCCTCACCTCACCTTACTTTGACCTTCTCCCCTCACTCTCCCTCGGAGTTAAGCTCCCACACACAGCCAAACACCATACTAACCATGCTCTCACCATAGCTTCACCGTCGAGGAGATCCGTGGGCTCATGGACAAGCCCACCAACGTCCGTAACATGTCCGTCATTGCCCACGTCGATCACGGAAAGTCCACCCTCACCGACTCCCTTCTCTCCAAGGCCGGTATCATCTCCACCGCCAAGGCCGGAGACGCGAGAGCCACGGATACCCGTGCCGACGAGCAGGAGCGTGGTATTACCATCAAGTCTACCGCCATCTCCCTGTACCACAACGTCGACCCCGACGATGTCAAGGACATTGTTGGCCAGAAGACCGACGGCACCGACTTCCTCATCAACCTGATCGACTCCCCCGGTCACGTTGATTTCTCTTCCGAAGTCACTGCTGCTCTCCGTGTCACTGACGGTGCTCTCGTCGTCGTCGACACCGTCGAGGGTGTCTGCGTCCAGACCGAGACTGTCCTGCGTCAGGCCCTCGGTGAGCGCATCAAGCCCGTCGTCATCATCAACAAGGTCGACCGTGCTCTTCTCGAGCTTCAGGTCTCCAAGGAGGACCTTTACCAGTCCTTCTCCCGTACCATCGAGTCCGTCAACGTCATCATCTCCACCTACTTTGACAAGTCGCTCGGTGACGTCCAGGTCTACCCCGACAAGGGTACCATCGCCTTCGGTTCCGGTCTTCACGGCTGGGCCTTCACCATCCGCCAGTTCGCCGTCCGCTACGCCAAGAAGTTTGGTGTCGACCGCAACAAGATGATGGAGCGTCTCTGGGGCGACAACTACTTCAACCCCCACACCAAGAAGTGGACCAACAAGAGCACCCACGAGGGCAAGCAGCTCGAGCGTGCCTTCAACCAGTTCATCTTGGACCCCATCTTCAAGATCTTCTCCGCCGTCATGAACTTCAAGAAGGAGGAGGTCGCCACCCTTCTCCAGAAGCTCGACCTCAAGCTCCCCGTTGAGGACCGCGAGAAGGAGGGCAAGCAGCTCCTCAAGGCCGTCATGCGCACTTTCCTCCCCGCCGCCGACGCCCTTCTCGAGATGATGATTCTCCACCTTCCCTCCCCCGTCACCGCCCAGAAGTACCGTGCCGAGACTCTGTACGAGGGTCCCCCCGACGATGAGGCCGCCATTGCCATCCGCGACTGCGATGCCAAGGGTCCCCTCATGCTCTACGTCTCCAAGATGGTTCCCACCTCCGACAAGGGTCGCTTCTACGCTTTCGGTCGTGTCTTCGCCGGTACCGTCAAGTCCGGTATCAAGGTCCGCATCCAGGGCCCCAACTACACCCCCGGCAAGAAGGAGGATCTCTTCATCAAGGCTATCCAGCGTACCGTCCTCATGATGGGTGGCAAGGTCGAGGCCATCGACGACATGCCTGCCGGTAACATTGTCGGTCTCGTTGGTATTGACCAGTTCCTCCTCAAGTCTGGTACCCTCACCACCTCCGACACCGCCCACAACCTCAAGGTCATGAAGTTCTCCGTCTCCCCCGTCGTCCAGCGCTCCGTCCAGGTCAAGAACGCCCAGGATCTCCCCAAGCTCGTCGAGGGTCTCAAGCGTCTCTCCAAGTCCGACCCCTGTGTCCTGACCATGACCTCCGAGTCTGGTGAGCACATTGTCGCCGGTGCCGGTGAGCTCCACTTGGAGATTTGCCTGAACGATCTCATGAACGACCACGCCGGTGTTCCCCTCATCATCTCCGACCCCGTCGTCCAGTACCGTGAGACCGTTGTTGGCAAGTCTAGCATCACCGCTCTCTCCAAGTCTCCCAACAAGCACAACCGTATCTACATGATCGCTGAGCCCATCGACGAGGAGCTCTCCAAGGAGATCGAGGCTGGCAAGATCAGCCCCCGTGACGATTTCAAGGCCCGCGCCCGTGTCCTCGCTGACGACTTCGGCTGGGATGTCACTGACGCCCGTAAGATCTGGACCTTCGGCCCCGACACCACCGGTGCCAACTTGCTCGTCGACCAGACCAAGGCCGTCCAGTACCTCAACGAAATCAAGGACTCCGTCGTCTCTGGTTTCCAGTGGGCCACCCGCGAGGGTCCCGTTGCCGAGGAGCCCATGCGTTCCGTCCGCTGGAACATCATGGATGTCACCCTCCACGCCGATGCCATTCACCGTGGTGGTGGCCAGATCATCCCCACCTCTCGCCGTGTCCTGTACGCCGCCGCCCTTCTCGCCGAGCCCGCTCTCCTCGAGCCCGTCTTCTTGGTCGAGATCCAGGTGCCCGAGCAGGCCATGGGTGGTGTCTACGGTGTCCTTACCCGCAGACGTGGTCACGTCTTCGGTGAGGAGCAGCGCCCCGGTACTCCCCTGTTCACCATCAAGGCCTACCTGCCCGTCATGGAGTCCTTCGGCTTCAACAGTGACCTGCGCCAGGCCACCTCCGGACAGGCCTTCCCCCAGTCCGTCTTTGACCACTGGCAGCCCCTGCCCGGTGGCTCTCCTCTGGACGGCACCTCCAAGGTCGGCCAGATCGTCCAGGAGATGCGTAAGCGCAAGGGTCTCAAGGTTGAGGTTCCCGGTGTTGAGAACGTGAGTTTCCCTCATAAACCTCCATGACTGATCAATGCTAACGAATCGCAGTACTACGACAAGTTGTAAACGCCTTTCCCACGGGTTAATAGAAAATGGCGTTGTGCCTTTTTGGGCATTTATGATGAACTGGGTTTGGTGGATGATATCAAAAATTATGACCCCGTTCTTTCCATAGCTTTCGCGTAGTCTCAAATGAAGACAAGTTCAATATGTAAATGCTGCATTGTGCCCGTACTGTGATGAAGTAACTCGAGTCTGTTGAATCTCAGATCGCCGTGCCATATCCTCCCGAGGCAAGACTGAAATCTGCAGCGGGCAACGGCAGCGGGCAGCAGCAGCGACGCCGACCCTCGCATGGATCCCACTTAGGTTTAAAGTGGGTCGTCTTAGCGAGTTCTGCAAATAAAAGCTTTCAGCCTCGTTCCGACACAGCTCCTTCTCTCAACAACCTCTCATTTCTGGGCAAATTCTTGTTTGTTCGCGTGGCTTCCCGCCGAGCAATAACAATGACTCCAACCTGTCCGTACATTACTTGAGTATCAGACTTATTGATACGTCAACCCTTGTGTTCTTCAATCCCATGACCTGGCGCGACCCTCACCGCGACGACCATGTTTCTAGCAGAGGAGGATGCGCCCTTGCTCAGGACGTGGCTCCTGAGCAAGCTGCCTGAAGTGTTCGTGTCTCTGCCAGCTGCCTCGCAATTGCTCTTGCTGACCACTCCCAGATCCGATACAGAGACAGACATCTTGGCCGACTATGTCCTTGCTCTTCTCGCCTCGCAGGAAGGCGACGCTGCGCACATTCGTGCGGCATGCGAAAGCGAATTGCCGCAGTTCCTCAACACAGGTTAGTCTGATAACAATGACGACGCGTTCAAGCTCTCGCTAACAAACCGTACCACAGACACCGCGCCGGAATTTGTTGACGAGCTATTTCGCGTCATCGAGTACAAGTCGTTTCTCCCGGGCGCGCTTCCCCCGCCCAAGAGGTTGACAGAGGCAGACAATCGCGCGGCGGCTTCGGAGTTTCCGTCTCAGGGTGGTTCGCGAAAGCGCTCATTCAATGACAGGAGCGACGCCGGCGCTTCGGGCGATCGGGACGCGGGCTTCGAGGAGCGCGCTTACAAGCAACCTCGCCGGAGTCAGTGGGACTCGACGGCTTCGGGTGCTGGAGGGTACTCTGCGCAGCCGTTCCCTGCCGATGGCTCGTTCCAGCTGTCGGCTACGGCGGCGCCGTACGACCCAAACTTCCCGCGAGGAGCACCAACTGGCCCCCAGAACTGGCGCGGGATGCCTCAGATGCCACCGGCCTATCCTCAGGGCGCCGCCCCGCCTCAAGGACCACGAAGAAATAGGCAGAAATGCCGCGACTTCGCGACCAAGGGGTACTGCGCTCGAGGAAACTCATGCCAGTATGACCACGGCGTCGAGCCCATCTGGTTGCCGCCTAGCGGTCCTAGTGGTCCTCAGAAATTCGATGGTGAGTTCAACATCTTTTCTGTCTATCACACCCAACCCGTAGCATGATGAGTAATCCATCAGAGCATTCGTGCGATGACTTTACAAAAAATTTATAAGGTTGACTACTGAAAGCTACAAATTCTTTACCATTTTTGTTATTGAACATCGTTGGACGAGTCTTAGACTGACATAATGGCACAGACTTTGATCCCCGAGACGCGGCCATGATGATGTCGCAAAACTTCCAACAAATGCAGCAGCTCATGGAGGCATTCAACGCTGAGCGATCCAGTCGCGAGGGCCGCAAGAACCGCCGTGCTACTAGAGGCAAACGGCGTCAGAATAGAGCCTCCTTCTCCGCTGAAGGCCCTGTTGAGGATACCACGAAGACGACAATCGTCGTGGAGAACATACCCGAGGAGTACCTGTCTGAGGAGGAAGTCCGCAAATTCTTCTCCGAGTTTGGCGATATTCAAGAGGTCTCGCTGCAGCCTCACAAGCGGCTCGCAACTGTCACGTATGACACGTGGGATGCTGCCAATGCGGCGTACCGGTCTCCCAAGGTCATCTTTGACAACCGCTTCGTCAGAGTGTTTTGGTTCGTCGAAGAGAGCGAGCAGGCTGCCGCACGCGCTGCTGCCAATGGCGAAGACCCAGACGCTGAGCCGGAGATTGATCTTGAGGAGTTTATGAAGAAGCAAGAAGAGGCCCAGCGGCAGCACGAGGAAAAAGCGCAAAAGAAGGCAGAGCTAGACAAGCAACGCCAAGAACTGGAGCAGCGGCAACGCGAGCTTCTCGCCCAGCACCGCGAGGTTCAGCAGAAGCTTCAAGCTAAATTGGCCTCGAAGAACGGCGATGGAGGGGAGAATGGAGAAGAGGGCTCGTTGAATTCGGCGCTTCGCGCGCAGCTCGCGGCTCTCGAAGACGAGGCTAAGCTCCTCGGTCTCGACCCGAGCGCGACGGATGAACCGTCCAACTCGTGGCATGCGAGCTATCGCGGACGGGGTCGCGGCAGAGGCGGCTTCGTCCCGCGTGGCCGTGGCTACGCTTCTCGAGGAAGAGGATCATACCGCGGCGGGTACCAAGGCGATGTCCACGTCGCCTACGCCGCGTACTCGCTCGACAACCGTCCTCGGACTGTGTCCGTCACGGGTGTAGACTTTACTTCGTCTGAGAAGGACGAGGTGCTTCGGCAATATTTGCTTGCTGTCGGTGAATTTACAGACATCAACACCACCCCGTCCAAGACCGAAGTCACCTTCAAGGACCGCAAGACGGCTGAGAAGTTCTTTTACGGTCTCCCCAAGCAGGAGATCCCGGGCATCGACGGCCAACTCGAGCTGTCGTGGGTCGCCACGCCCCTGGCCCCCGTCAAGACTGTTGAGACTGGCGCATCGTCAAAGACCCAGGGCGCGTCTGGCCATGATATGGTCATGGGCAACGCCGCACCTAATGGATCGTCGGCGGCACGTGACCTGATGGAGCAGCAGCCGGAACAGCAGCGGGATATGGACTATGATGTTGCGGATGACGATGACTGGGGAGTTGAGTAGGGGGTGCTCGTCGTATGGAAGAGAGCAGAGGATGAAGTAGACTACAGTGTTACCTGTATACGTTCCAAGTAGTGGGATGCAGGTTTGGGACGAGGATTCGTCTCACGACATTGTCTCAACGGACACTAAAGCGACACGTTACCGCAAGAATTGATACCAAAATTTGATACCCCCAAGGCGAACTCTATGTTGTATGCGAGATGTTAATTGGTGAGGGCCCTTTCGTGATTTCGCAGTCGTCGTCAGGAGCCGAGATTTCTTGATGAACGGCTTTTGAATAACGACTTTTAAAGTCTTACAGCTGCTAACTCTCAGTATTCCGCTAGAATACTTTTGACGTGGTGTTCTACGTACGAGCTGAGAGGGTTAATCAGCGCGAAATCGGCGGTGAGAAGGTTGTGAGAGTTTGACGGGTCGTGATGAATCTACCATAATGAGAGCTGCCTGAGGACTTTATCAGAGTATAAATGACAAGCTGCCAGCTAAGATTTGTTTGATCACTGGGTCTTGAGTACTCCGTACCACTCACTCTAACCCATCTTCTACGAAGCCCATCGTCACTAATGTGAGAGGTGATGAAGGTCCAGAGCGGGGCCAAGGGTCCGAAACCTGTCCCGGCATTTGGCTAAGCTTGGAATGCATGCTCTGAAAGGATACGAAAGCGGGAAACGTAAAAACCCAGGAACAGGATTCATGGTAGACGCATAGAGTCAAGGCGTTGAGTTTAAGAAAACAAGACTCTGCCTACTGTTTCAGCCATTGAATTGATCAACATTATTTGGTCAGCGTCGTAACGAAAACGATGTTTCCCCTCTGTGTTTCTCCTCTTTCTGTTCTGCTTATACGGGAACTAAAAACTATCCCTTGTTCGTCTGTGGCTTGCACCATAGTTGAGAAGGTTATCTTTATTTCATGGCTACAGCGGATGTCGGGCATGAATAAGACGCACGGCAGGACACCAACGCAAACGTGAATCGCATCGCGCGAGTGGGACGACGCCAGCGCAGAACAAGGGTGGATCTGACGACGGATAAGGGGTCGATGAGGGACGATGTTGGTCCTGGCGGATTCTCTGGCGGATGCATGAAGCAAGGGTCGGCATATCGGTCCAAGAAACTCAAGTGACGGTCCATTGACGGAGTGAATCGCTCACCAGACTGGCAGAGCGAGGATGGCCGTTGCTCGCTAAAGTTGGGGACGGACTTGGGGCAGCTGACCACCTACCCTAGAGGTTCCCCCCCTCCCCCCCCCCGGGGGCCCTTACCTGACCTGCCTTAGCACGCCTGCGGGCCTGCGCTGCACTGGTGTGCTGGGGCCCGCCTCTGCCAGCCCCGACGAACGACAGCTGCATGTTCCCTCCAGCAGTAGTACTCAGGTGGTTAGCTCACTCGGATGGATTGCATTGCATGTCACTGACCGCAACTCCAACCTCTCATTCTCTGTCTCTATCTTTATGAATACTTTTACCTTCTTGTCCTACCGTCGTTAGTGCAGTCCTGTCTCTCTTCTTAGACAGCCTCATTTCTCGTACAACGCCAGTGAAGCACGCCAGAACCACCGGTACCCTTGCTTGACTCAGAACCTAAGATACTTACTGATAGTACCTTACGGCCAGGGACAGGGAGCGAAGTCGGAAGTGTCACTGGGCCGAAGGGGTGCGCTTTATGACGTCTTACCGGGTCCCGTTTGTTAAAGAATAATTAACCTGGTGACTAACACCACGAAACCAAAATCACCCGACAAAGACGCACCACCTTTTCCTCCATACAACCTACAACTACAACTACAAACCAACAAGCAGAGCAGACGACGCGGGAGGCATGATCGGCTTCCTCTCGACCGCCGCCAACATTGCGAACCCGACTCCAGATCTGGACCACAGCCGTGCTGTGGTTCAGACCTCGACCAAACCATGCCCATCTTCCAGGACGATCTCGAACACCACCAGCACCTCTTATCATCCATAGCCGAGCACAGAGCGGCCGCTGCGCCAGAAACACCGCAAGCAGTTCCGCCCATACCACAACACCGACCGTCGCCGATGCGAAGA